GCCAAATTTCATAAGGATAAGAATTATTCTTGAGTTTTACTTGAAAAAATCAAAAAAAAAAATTTTTTTTTTTTATTTTTGTATTATCTTTACAAAATAAAAACTTTTTAAAATTTTTAAAAGCTATATAAAAACCATCGGTACCAGTGTCTTACGATATAACAGCCACATTGCCAACATTAAACTCCGAGTCGACTGGAGCTGATACAGCAGCATGATATGATTCTGAGCGAATATGCATTTGAGGGCAGCGCTTTGGTGATAGCCCTAAGCAAGGCATTGATTGGTACAGCGATATGAAGGCGGCAACACTCCGGCCGCGTCGTTGCTGAATATTTTCAACGGACGCCCAACGGAAACCGAATGTCTGGCTGTGTACGGCAGCCGACGGGTAAAATCATTAGTATCGAAATAGAAAGACATGAGCATAGAAGAAATCGCAGTTTCGGTCGGGCTGATAACGCTGCACAAGTCGACAGCAGACTACAGCGTCTACTATTCAAACACGAACCGAATTGCAACAACAACTGAGAGCCCATGCTTTTAGCAAGACCAGACAGTAGCAGACAGATAACGGTACAAAGCGTCGGCGCCAATCAAATGACATTACTGCGGCAGACTTGGGCACAAAATATCAGAGTGCCGTAAGAAGAGAGCAGACGAAAAGAACAGCGCCAATACGTACCAAACTCATTTAAAGCTACAAGCGGGAGATAAAGAGAGGGAGTGACGTGCTTCAAATGCACGGTCACATCGCTTCGATGTTCTCCAAAGAAACAGCAAACAACGGCGACAAATGAAAACGTTTCTGTGACGGCGCCTGGCGAAACTATGTTTCAATTTGGTTAGCCCTTTCTATTTTTTGAACTTGCGCCGAATTTTCTTTAATGAAGGAGAAACTATGTATGTAACAAATTACCTGATAAAAGATTTAATAATTTCTTAATTTTAAGAGGAAATGCCGACAATGTCGTAAAAAGCCATTTACAAATCTTGACAACAGTTAAAATCAGGGACCGTAATCATTATAAGTAATATATTTAAAATTACTTTGTAATGATTACTCAACGATTTTTAATTTTTTAAATCAAGACTAATAATTATTTTTGATCGAAAAAAATAAAAATCACAAATAATCATTAAGCTTGAACAATAAATAAAAACTCAAAAATAATAATTATTCGTGATTTTTATTTTTTTTTATCAAAAATAAAACTCACCAAGCAATAACTTTTGATCCTTTAAGGATATTTCCAATATTGTCCTATGTCCTTATAAAGGGACCCTAGAGCAATAATTGACAACAACAACAACAACAAAAAAATGCATTTTACTTGTGTTTGTTGCAATTATTTAATATAAGGTCAACTGTTACATACAGAGCAGCAGCAGCAGATATACACAATTACCAAAACAATGATAATGATAATCATCATAATGATCAACCAGTAAAACAATTAGGTACATTAATTTTCAATTTATTATGCATTTATGACATAATATGAATTTTATGTATTTTTAAAATACAGGCTTCATCTGTATCAATCTGAAAATATGTTGACTTTCGAAACTCTCTTGGAAATTCTCCTTTTTGCATTGCATTGTCACTGGAAATGCAAAGTGGATCTATTTTCAAAACCCAAAATGAAAAAAATCCTATGTTAGCCCAGGCCAGCCGGCCCAATCCCAATCTCGGCCAAACCGTTTCGACCCCAAAGCCATGCTAAGCGTTTTCCGAGATAAGGCCGGTATCGTTTGCTATGAGCTCCTAAAACCGAGTGTAACCATTGATGGCAAACGCTACCAGCAACAATTGGAAGAATTGAAAGAATCTCTGCTCCAAAAACGCCCAGAATACGCAAAAATGCCCAGAATTGGGAAACGCCGTCTCATATGCATAGACCTGGTAGACTAAGATAAGCGCTACTAAAAATAGATCTAAGCGCGTGCGCTTCCGCTGTCTTCTTTTGTTTTCTCTTCTCGTACGCTTTCGGCCTAAGGTAAGCTTTATCACATTGATCATTATTGATGATTATCATTATTATCATTGTGTTGATAATTTTGTATATCTGCTGCTGCTGGTAAAATGCATTTTTGTTGTTGTTGTTGTCAATTATTGCTCCAGGGTTCCTTTATAAGGACATAGGACAATATTGGAAATATTCTTAAAGGATCAAAAGTTAATGCTTGGTGAGTTTTATTTTTGATCAAAAATAAATAAAAATCACGAATAATCATTATTTTTGAGTTTTATATTTTTTTTCAAACTTAATGATTATTTGTGATTTTTATTTTTTTTGATCAAAAATAATTTTTAACCATAGAAGAGTAAATATAACAATTAACAATTAAAAATCATCAAGCATATTCATAGTGTATCCTTAAAGGATAAAAACGGGCTAGTCAAGCTTGTTCTATGTTGATTGGAAGTGATTGATTTATTCATTTAATGGTTAAAAATGGTTAAAATCTCACAGTTCAATCTAGAAATATTATTCCATGTTGTAACTGATAACTATTTGAAGCGTGATTATATAATAGGCAATGAAATCTTACATCTTGGATTTGGGGTTATGATAGAATATGAAAAATTCTGCAATTACAAAACCAACGCCATAAATATGAAACATGAAAAAGTACATGAAAAAGATAATGCTAACAATATGGACAAATTAATTATTAAGAATACAGATTTAATTGAAAATGACAATAAAAGGTTAATACAGATATTAATATTGTATTCTGAAAGCTATATAAATGAAATCCCAAACAAACGCGTAAGTACAGGCACATTGTAGATTCGTTTATTTGATGGCAGCAAAAAAGTTCCAAGGCGTCCCTATCGATTGAGTGTAGAAAAAGAAAAATAAATAGTCCGAGATAAAATACAACAAATGCTAGAGGCTGGTGTCTTAAGGCCAAGTAGCTCACCCTTTGCTAGTTCAATATTACTAGTTAACAAGAAAGGAAAGCTAACTTAGGGTGGAGCCGAAGTTGATTTACCCTTGATTACACAGTGCGACAGTGATTTGGAACTTTTAAAGAGACCTAGTAGGAATTGTTCATTAGGTCGAATATAGTATAAAACCGTGTTTGAAATTTTTGAACACCCTCAAAATCTTGATTTATTTGGGAAAAACGGTTTTTTGGGACTTTTTTGCTCTTAAAAATTCCTAAGCACGTAATTTTTCTGTTTTCTAAATAAATCAAGATTGAAGAGGTGAAAACTAGCAGACGTTCATGGCAAAATGCATTAATAGAAGTCCAGTTGGGCATGAATTGTATAAGCAATCGAGCAACAAAATTAAGAGCCTTAAATTTATTAATGGGCAAATAGGCTAGGCCAATGGCCGTATTCCCAATGGTTGAGGAAAATGAAGTTAATGTTAAAGAAATAAGAACAAAGGTCAAGGTAAACATTGATAAATATTCTTTATATAATAAAAACCGTAAAGATAAAGAGATACCCAGGAACGACACCAAACGATATTGTTTTTGAAGTTTAAAGAACCAGTTGAGATTTTTGAGTTACTTTTTGAGTGAATCGTAAGGGTACCCCAGCTACCAAGTGAGGTGAGGGGCTATCATACACAGGAGCTATTTCCAAAAAACAATGCTAGTGATAAATGACATTGTGGAGGCGGACAGTGGATCTATTGCGAAATCGTGGCACTGTAAATGCATAGCGTCGCAGAGTGGCGGCAAGAGCCTGGAATATCCTAGCAAGCGTACATTTGATGACTTGAAAGGTGAATTAGATTTAGGTTAATGTAAAATAACAGCCGAATGCTTGGGTTTGCGCAGAAGAGTACGAGCTACTAAGGAAATTGAAGTTATCCTGCCAAACTAACATTTGATGATTTTAAACATAATTTGATTTGGTTTACTCCATAAAAAAGTAAGAAAAACTATATTTGATAGTAGAAAAAAATTGTAAATTGTAAAAAGAAAATGAGATGAATTTAATGTTTAATAAAGTATATATGAGGAAAGTTTAAATAAGAAATTACGTTTTGTTAAGAAGTAAAAATAAGGTTAATTATTAAAATACGAATAGAGGAATAAATAGTAAAGAATATTCTTTGAGTTTTCATCATAGAGTTGATTCTTTTTATGGCATGCCCCAGCTGCACATACACGAGGACGTGTAACAGCCAGAAGGCCGCGTCGGAAAAAAGATGTTTGGTGAACAGGGAAAATTATGAGAGCGTGGTCCGAGAGCAAGAGAGTCGCTTGGGCGAATGGTTGCCAAAAAGCCAAACAGAAAGAACTCAAGAAAATGACTTGAGATAGCTTGAAAAGGGAAAAGGATCGTTTGCAACACGCTGCGCTAAACCAGAATCATGAGCATTCGAAGCATCCCTCCGTCATATATCAAATCGTACTTGGTATTATTGAACGAATTAGAAATTTAATTAATTCGTTAAAAAGTTACAAATAAGAATTATATTTTTTGGCAATATTGGCGACAAAGCACGACAAAATACGACATGCCAAAGTTCATAAGCATCGGCCGACTATATCCTATAGCTCCCATATAATTGAACAATCGGAAATAACCCAACTTTTGTGTTTTTGAAGACAGAAAATTTAAACTTTGTAAAGAATATATTTTTGGTCAGTTGGTCCGAGCTACCAAGTTCCATAATGATCAACCGAGTATATCTTATAGCTGCCATATAATTGAACGAGCGGAAATGGTTTTTGGTAGAAATGCCAACTTTGGTATTTTTGAAGAAAGATGTTTGGGACTTTTTTTAGATTTTGTATTATAATAAATTGGGTTATATTATCATATCAACTTCGGCTCCGCCCGAAGTTATCTTTCCTTTCTTGTTTTTTTTTTAATTATTAGTTGATTGGTGGTTTATTGTTGCTGGTGTCTGTGTCTAAAAATAATATTGTATTACAGGTCTTGGTTCCAGAAGTAAAGAAGCTGTTTTTGCAAATATTTTTCGAACACACGGATGATCTGCATTTTAAATACATGTATAACTTACCAGAATTTGCTGCAAGCATAATTAATGCAAGCAAAAAAAATCCAAAGCTGCAATTTTTCCCAGCCGCCATGTTAGGCTTTTGCGACGTATGCTGGGGAATTAGGTAAAATATTTTTGGAGTTAATATTCAAAGTTAATATTTTAAAAAATGTTTAAAAATATAAGAGATATCTTTGATTTTCTCATAATCTTGCAGAGGGTATTATAATTTTGGTCATAAGTGTGCAACTCAGTGAAAGAGACATTTCCGACCCATTAAAATATCTATATATTCTTCATCAGGATCCCCTACTGAGTTGATATGAGCATGTCCGTCGGTCCTTCTGTCTGTCTGTTTCTACGCGAACTAGTCTCTCAGTTTTAAAGCTATCGACTTGAAACTTTGCACATACCCTTCTTTCCTTTGCACGCAGTATATAAGTCGGAACGGATCGGCCGACTATATCCTATAGCTGCCATATAACTGATTGATCGAAAATTGTATAACTTTGGTGTTTTTAGAGTTAGAAGTTCAAATTTAAAATGAGAGCTATTTTGTATAATTGTACCATGCTCGGGGACATAGGAAATTTCTCTGCCCGAGCTCTGCCACACGCACACACAGTATAAATGTGTGAAACGTCATGCTCACAGCCTACTTTCTGCTATTCGTTACTAACACTAATGCGGTAAAATCATATCAATGTATTGGGGTGCCGACCACTGTTCTAAAAATATCTTTTTTTTTACATTTTCACAGGGATTGGCTAATTATATTCGATATTAACGCTATATATCTGAAAAAACCTTTATTCTTAATTACCTTTATTGTTAATTATAATAATATTGGTGTTAAATCTTTAATGGCGTAAATGATATCTGTTACGAAATGTTAAGGCCGCACTTACAAGTTTAGTTCTTTTCAAAATACATTCACATGATTTTAAGATGGATTTTATGCCAGCATTTTAGTTTTAGCACATGACGTAACAAAAAATTTTAAATATGTCTGAAGACCAAAAATTTGAAATAAAATATATACTATAATTAATTTTGGGACTTTTTCGGCGTAGTTTTACCATGGAATAAGACGGGAATACTCCTGCATTTTCTATATTGGAAAAATGCCGGAATTTTATTTGAAAAGAGGCAGCCATTTCATGTAGGAAAACATGGGAATTTCACGTAGAAAAGAGGCGGAAAATTCCTTAAAAAAGAACCATGAATTTTTTTGAATGACTCCTAGTTTAACTTCTGGCTTCTGGAAAAAACCAGGCCGTTTCGTGCTCGTTTTCGAAATTTCCGAATGTGAGGACTTCATCCAAAATCTCTATACAAAATTCCTCGCACCTTATGGGAACCCCCGACTCTTTGTCACTTTCGAGGAATGGGGGGCCTTGATTCCAGGCTTTTTCCAGGTCGAATCGGAGGCCATTCACGGAGTTGTTTTAAAAAACAACGTTTCACATGTTTTTCAATTTTTCCTTAGACAAAATTGGTTTGATATTGAAAATCTCATAATATATTACATTTAATAATACTAATTAACACTTGATTGCAAGGGGATATTCACTTTAGTTCTGCCGAAATTAGCTTTCCCTTTTTTTATAATTTAATTTTTCATGTCTAGTATTACTTTTGTTTGTAAGTACTTAAAATATTTTTAAATCGTTCAATTTAGTATCGAGTTAAACTAGATACATTTGTTGCACTAAACGGCTATCGGCTTCCTTATTTTAAATTAAAGTTCTTAGAAACTGTCACAACCGAATAAAAAGAATTTTGAAAGGAATAAATAGAAAATTTCTTTGATTTCTAAGAACTTTAACATTAAGGATAATAACTTTTTTTTCGAGCTAAGGCACTTTTATTTATTTTACCTTTGTCAATTTTTATATTTTTCTCCGATTATTGTATTTGTTAATTTTAAAAACACATATAACTGCGGACGCGTTTTAAATTCGAGTAACAAGCGAATCCGATCACCACTTACTTCGAATTAAATCGGGTTTCATGAAAATACTCACTTTAAATACCTCTTATTAATCTATGTCTTATACATAAGCAAGATAATACATATATAAAAAGTATTTATATATACAATTGTCATTATATATTTATTGTATTCAAATGTGAGTTGTGAGAGATTTCTTCAAACAGTTCTCATGAACAGAAACAATTCTTTATCAATACGGAATGGTGTTTGTTTCTAAATAATGTTATTTCCATTATCTTTTGCCTCAGTATATTTGACCCCTACTTGGCACCCTCACATCTTCAATAAATTTTTGTTTTATTATTATTTAATCTTTAAATAAGTGTTTTAAAAATATAACATTCAACTTATGTGTATGTTCAATTGTAATGAATATATGAAAGATATAAAAAAATATACAAAATATATACAAACTAATTAATGCTTGCAGATAACTTTTCTTTATGAATATGTAAACAGTATGGCACATAGTATATATTTACATACAAAGTATACATTAAAATGAACTTTTCAAATATCAAAAAATGAAAAAAAATATAATTTTTTTTTTTTTTTATTTTTCGTATGCTTCAATTCCTTATTTCTTTCAAAATTTATACTTTCATTAAAGCGAATGTTACAAATTTTTGTTTTTATAGAGTTTTAGCATGAAGCTATGCTTTTAAACTGAAATATTTTAACATATTTAATTTGTTTGTTATTACAACATATATCTTCAAGGAAAATAGGATACAAAAAACTTGATCTGACACTTAATGCTAATTTGACTATTTTGACCAATTTTACTAACTAAGAGAGTTTATTTTTATACCCTTGCAGAGGGTATTATAACTTTGGTCAAAAGTGTGCAACGCAGTGAAGGAGACATCTCCGACCCTACAAAGTATATATATTCTTGATCAGGATCACCTTCTGAGTTGATATGAGCATGTCCGCCTGTCCGTCTGTCTGTCCGTCTGTCTGTTTCTACGCAAACTAGTCTCTCAGTTTTAAAGCTATCGACTTGAAACTTTGCACCCACCCTTCTTTCTTTTGCACGCAGTATATAAGTCGGAACGACCGGAATCGGCCGACTATATCCTATAGCTGCCATATAACTGATTGATCGGAAATGGTATAACTTTGGTGTTTTTAGAGTTAGAGAGTTTTTTTTTAGAGACAAATTTGACACGGAAGATATATTTGGCAACACATTACGACATGCCAAATTTCATAAGGATCGGCCAACTATATCCGATGTTTGCGATATATATCCGGTTTTAGCTGCAGGGGTATATCAACTTCGGCTCCGCCCGAAGTTAGTTTTCCTTTCTTGTTATACATATTGTTGTACCGTTTGGACTCCAGCTATTTCGTGCACGTAGTTATTGCTTGTTTAATAAAGTAGATTAAGTAATAGTTTAAGAAGTTTATTTTGACAATTTTATATTTTTATACCCTTGCAGAGGGTATTATAATTTTGGTCAAAAGTGTGCAACGCAGTGAAGGAGACATCTCCGACTCTATAAAGTATATATATTCTTGATCACCATCAACAATCGACTTGATATAGCCATGTCTGTCTGTCTGTATGAACGTGTGGATCTCTTTTTCGTGTGGATCTCTTTCAGAAGAAAAAGATCTGTAGGATTTGGCATGTACACTCCTATAATACCCGCACAGCTTAAATTTTTTAAAATATGATGTCACGCCTCCCATAAATAGGAAATTTACTGAAATCCGAACACCAAACAGTACCGTACCGGGCTTTTGAAAAACTTTGAATGCCAAACTAATTCAAGAGTGAGTTTATATCTGAAAAAAAATTCAATCAAAGCGGGTGATTTAAAATGGAGATAATGGCTACAAAGTAACAACTTACATAATACATAATAAATGCCTTACTATAAAGCATTTAAAAACACCCATATCAGAGACCCACTTATCAGAGGCAAAAGTTAAAATTAAAAAGAGCCTGCTCAATCATCTAATTGAAATGATAATTGGCCTTGACCCAAAAGGTAGCAAAGGTACGAAGATCCCTTTGAGGAACATTTAAATGAATAAGTCCCAGTAAAAAAGGGTAACCAATGTTGTCAGCGATTATAATATTGACAAAAGTCAAAGTTGCCATTGTACACCGATCCTCCAAAGTACAAACGGTACAACGTACGGTATGAGGATACAGAAGCGAAATTTACAATCCGGGATCCAAATGATTGAGGCATTCCAGGCTTGACCGAACAAATGCAGCATAGACGCAGAGGCTCGAGTGTGGACTTTTAAAATGGTTAAATCGTAAAACAAGGAGTAGAATACAAAGTAAAATAAAGTCTAAGTCACCATTATAATTTGCTTTCGAACAAGACACTTAGCTCTTTCACCTTCTTTTTAGCTGTCAAACTATGGTATAATTGTCGATAGAATAAGCAGTAGTGATATCAAGAGTCCGCTTACTGTAGCGAATAAATACACATTTCGATAAGTTTAATTCGATAAGATTACGGAAGCAAAATGAGGAAACTCTGGATATATCCTCCTGTAACAAGTAACTTTCACTAATGCAATAAATGGCCTTATAGATAAGGTCATGAAGGTCATCCGCTTACATTAAGAAGATAATAAATTGGAGAGGTCCCAGAAAGTTGCCTTGTGGAAAATCAGAGGAGGCGACAAATGGACTTAAGATAGCGTCTCCAATAGAAACGTCGCATGGTCGGTCCGCTATACTAGTCTGATCAGACCCACTGCCACCTTTGTGAATATGCGTGATAGAAGCAATCTTCCACCGATAGAAGAATCTACCAGATAAGTGACCCAAGGAGAACAGAAGTTGAAGGAGAGTAGAAATGAAAGCGATTCTCTTCTTAAGATAGAATGGGGAGACACTATCCAAGTCAACTGTGTGTGAATCCGTAAAATGTACTGTGGCTTCAACTAGGTCACATTCTAATATTTCCATGTTACTCACATTGGAAAAAAGCTCAATGCTCAGCAGAGTTTCATTGGTATTCCAAGAAACCTTCGGTTCCAAGTTAGAGACAAAGTATTTTGCAAAAAGTACCGAAACGGCCTGATCCGAGTCCGCTGCTGAATTTACATAACATATGGATGAAGATTGGTCCGATGTTGACTTTTTGCTGTTAAAAAACCGCCAAAAAGCTTTAGGATTGAATCGGAGGCTAGCTCCGACATCGGATATATAGTGGAATACATTATATATATAAGGAATACAAATTCCCGCATAAATTGCCGGTACAGCTCTTTTTCTCGAGGCTCCCCTGGCTTTGTAAGTCGTGTGTAATGCTTATCCATTCTATTCTTTAAATTTTTTAAGCCTGTTGTATACCAGGGAAGCCTATAGTATCTTCGTACCCTCAAAGGGGCATAAATTTCAATACTATTTAAAAAAGCAACCAAAAAAATAGTGTAAGAATCATCAATTGAGCCATCCCTAAAAGGGAAAAGAGAATAAGTTGGCATCAAAAGAGACAAGTTGGCATCATTCAGATGATAATATGGAATGGCTGAAGCAGAAGACAAAAAAACTATAGAACTCAATATGAATTACTAACGGCTTTTGGTGAATCGATTTAGTGGTACATTCAACAACTTCAACTTTAATTCAACATTACTATTAACCACTTTTTTTTTTGAAATAAGATCAAGTATTTTAGATAAATCATTAAAAATACTATTTACTTGGGAAGGGTGAACGTTGCTAGGTAAAATGCTGGGTGGCTCTGGGTCCCGAGACCAGATGATAGAGCTTAGGTTAAAATCGCCAGTTACCATCAATATAGTCGGGTGCAACGTTCTAGCATGATACTAAATGCGCTGTTTGGGGGGATATACGATGCAATAATGACGTAAGGGCCATGGATGTCCTGGATTGAAAAGGCAAGCTGATCCAGTAGAGGGTCGGCCACCGGAAGGCGTGGTGATGTTGCTTGAAGCGCCCCACTTAATTAAGAGGCTAGGCGACAAAGAGTTAAAATATGAAAAAGCGAGCGGCCCTATTATACTTCGTCGAAAAGGGGGCAAAGGTACGTAGATCCCTTTAAGGAAAATTCATAGGTCCCAGTAAAAAAGGGCAAAAAATTTACTAGCGACTAAATTACCTCCAACGTGCAAACATTGAGAAAAAGCCAGAGGCTCTGGTATGAAGGTATAGAATCATGAAACCTTTAAGGGAGAAAAGCACGTTTTAAAAATTTATTCTGGAGTCCGTCTATTCGGTGTTAACGAACTCTACAAATCGGATTTCAAATGATTTAAGCATGTTCCCGCATTGACCGAACAAATGCAGCTTAGACGCTGAGGCTCGAGTGTGAACTTTTAAATTGGTTCAAGTGCCTCTTCATAACGACCCAATATATATTGGTTGGAGAGAAACTTGTTAAGGAATTCAAATTCCTGCTTAAATTGCCGGTACAGCTCTTCTGCTCGAGGCTCCCCTGTCGTTTGTAATGCTTATCTCTTCAGTTCTTTAAGTTTTTCGTTTTTTTTTTAAGGTAGAGATCGACGGTGAGCGATGATTACATCACCTCCTCGCGCACACTGGATGCATCTTGGTTTTTTCGAAATACTTGGTACAAGTTAAGCTCGAATAACTCCGAGGAGCGAAAGTCGTTATTGATTCACGATTTGACAAGGATGATAACATCAAAATCGCAGTCCTCACTGCAGACTGGCACTTGGTCCTTATTCCCAAAATATTTTGGAATATAATTTTTAAGCCTTTATTGGGGTCCGAGGACAAATTATAGCTAGGGAATACACATTGGGAATTGTACGGCTAGGCAGTAATGATGATGGAGGAGGCATATCCCATGCCACATGTGAAGGCATATCTAATACTTGCATATCTTGGAAGACAGCTGACGAGGACACAGGGATCTTTCTATTAGACTTAATGGCAGACCAGCGAGTGTCTAACCTTAGTTCAGTGGATGTTCCCTTTGATAAGTGGGAAAACATGAAAATTGTTACCGTTGCCGTTTGCGCTTTTCTCACTGGAATGGATTGGAGAAAGCT